GTAAAAACCTAGCATTATTTGAAGAAATGTTTAATGCCATATGTAAGATCATCTTATAGTGGAGGAAAATGGTGTTATGTTTTGGTCAAACCTTTAAAATAATGTAATGCACAATCACATAACTATAAGAAGTCCCACTCAGTCCATGTGTTGTGGGTGACTCTCAGCTACCAGGTCAAGTTTTAACTCAACATCTGTGAAATTGGCTGARTTACAAACAGTTATGTTTTCCAAAGTCACTCGACTGAGGTGGCCATCTTGAAGTGGATTGGCTTTAAAAGGTAATCAGTTGTAAATGTTCATCCAATGATTACTTTCAGAAGCATCCATTAAAMTACATGAGGTTAATGAGATATTTTGCTAACAGACCGATTTGATACCAACAGTTAATGCCAAAATTTAAAGCATGCATCTTATGCAATTTATGGCTCAGTATGTGTTGGGAATCATCCCCTGCTACAATGTAAACATTTAGCTGAATGTCTGTAAAACTCATTTAATCGTAGCTAATTTGTTGTTTCTAAAGCTCAGCTGGCTGTGGCAGCCATCCTGAATTGGATTGATCCCAAAAGTTAAGAGATGTTTTGATAACATACAAATGAGGTTGACTTCAGTAGGTCATGCCAAAGCTTTAAATACAGATCTTGCGTAAGTTATTAGCACTCAGAGTATCTGAATTAGTCTCAGCTACTTCCACACCAAATATGAGCTAAATATCTGTCATATTCACTATGTTATCAACATTTGAATGTTAGCTAAAGCTGATTCGCTTTGGCGGCTATCTTCATTTGGACTGATTTCAAATTAGTTTCATTAATATTTGTCAAATGGTTCATGAGATATTTTGCTTACTGCAGATACACAAACACACACTTTCCAGCTGCAAACATTAGGTGTTTTTTATTGGCAAATCATAATTTCCTAAAACTCTGAGCCTCCCACAGAAATTTATTTTAAGCAGAAAGGGACATGAATATCAGAGTCATACTTTTTAAAGTCGTGTTGAACATGTCAACTTTCAACCCACACATTTATCAGTAGCATCTGGTGTTAATATATAAAAATACAAAAATCCTTTACTTTCACACTTACAAAGGGCAAATTATTTATCTTTCTAATTAAAACTTTCTAATTTTGTTGCTCTAATGTCTGCAAAAGACGAGTTCCGTTTGAAGGACAGAGATATTTCACATATTTTCAGCTAAATAGTCTCTGTAGTCCTGAATTTCTTTTTATTTAAAAGTTACTTTAAACTTTTTCCCTCTTTGATTTTAAGATGTGAACTCCTCAGAGACCATGACCTCATGGCTGCAGGGCAGGAATGCAGTAATTGGAACCTGAGCCCGATTTCAGGTCAAAAAGTTTGCAGTTCGTTTCCACCGACTGGTTACCGAAACCTTCACACCTCTCCTCGTTCCCTGAGCCAGGACACTGACTGAAGGATGAGGACTGTGGCGGCTTCTGATAAAACTATCAGTCACCTTGCCTGGTTCCTGCCTCGAACGAGTCAGTGAAACTTATCACAAAGCAAAGCACACAATGACCCACAGGACAAATATTAATAAAACCTGCAGAAAGTTATTGTTACACTTGTCAAAATCAAGGCTCGCGGGCCACATTTGACTTCTGTGTGGCCTGGCAATGAGTCCCACCCCCCCAAAAATACATTTTAAATCAATTATAAACTTCAAATGTATGATTTAATGCAACAAAATAAATTTAAAAGGTAAAAGATAATACTTGTTCTTCTTGCACGTCAATTAATTTACCCGCACAATTACAGCATCCTACCACTAGGTGGAGGTGACAAGATTCAAAAGTAGCCAGTAGTTGTCAGCTGGCGAAATTCAATAATAAAAAAAACCTTTTTTTTTTTTTTTTGCATTTTTGCTGGCTGCTTTTACAACACACTTATACTGGTTGCAAATTTAAACTGGAACACCCCTCCAGTGAGAATTTCCTGTCAGAAAGTGTGAGTTCAGAATTCAAAACAGCAACTTTTTATCAGAATTCAACAATAAGTAAAACTTGCTTTTACTTTTAATAATATTTCTGTTTTATTCATTTCACGTTTAGTCAGTTGTACTTTTCAATGGTTATAAGAGGCTGTGATAAAACTCTGTTTCTGTGCGAGAAATACCAAGTAGAGCTCAGTTATTGTTTGTTATCCATGTTTAGTCAAAGTTAATTACAACTGGCTCTTTAGTAAAAAAAAAAAAGGCATTACACACCCACGGAGAAAGCTCCAGCTTGGATTAGAAGTCAAACTGATTTAAGATGGTGGCCACATCCAACAGACCCAAAAAGACGATAATATCAATCCCTCTCTGTTTAAAATCATCAAAGTTCAAAGCTCTGGTATGGAGAGTGGAAGGCTATTGCAGGAACTTGCATGTGAAGCTCTTCATGTGTCTCATATGGGCACAACTGAGACTAATAACGGATAAACATTCAGGACGCTGGCTGTAAGAAGAAGCCTTAAATAATATCCTTGAAGTATACAAAACACTAGCTGACATTATTCATCAACAAACAGACCATCACACTCATAAGACCACGTTTCCTCCTTCCCATCTGTTTGTAGTAAACACTGTTTGTTTTCCAGTTGATGTCTGAACAGAGGTGCAGGGACGGGAGAGTCGCTAGCAAGCTTCAGAGTGTGTTTTAGAAAATGGGCCATGCATTAAAAGCATGCTAACATTTCCTTTTGTACCTCCTCCTTTCACAGAAATAACAGCCTCTAAACACTTCCTATAGCTTCTAATGAGAGTCTGGATTGTGGCTGAAGGTATTTTAGACCATTCTTCTTTACAAAACATCTCTAGTTCATTCAGGTTTGATGGTCCACAGATTTTCAATAATATTCAGGTCTGGGGACTGAGATGGCCATTCCAGAACGTTGTGCTTGTTCCTCTGCATGAAGGCC